CCATGGAGGAACTGAGAGGAGGTGGAGAACCGGAAACTGTGGACGGTGAGCAAGCCCCGCTTCCGGCAGGAGAAGGTACGACCTGTATTCGGACTGGATGCTGAGCGCCATCAAGTTATGGGAATGCGCTACGGCTTTGGTTTATCAATGACCCTGGGAAGAATTGACCGCTTTAAAATACGGAGAGTCCTTTTTGGGAACTCATATTCTGTCTTTATTTATTCGAATCTTAGTTAAGTTTAAGAGCTTCAGCCATACTCTTGCTATGATTCTTCTTCTCCTTTTTTTTTTTGTTTTTTTAGACAAGTTCTCGCTATGTCGCCCAGGCTATTCTCAAACGCCTGGCAGAGCCCACTCTTATGACCTTGTCATAACTCAGTTACATCTGTAAAGACCCTATTTCCCAATAAAGTCACGGTCACACGTACCAGACGTCAGGGTTTCAGCGTCTCTTGGGAGGACACAATTCAACCTTCTACACAGTGGACATCTTTATTTTGTTCTTCATTTTGCCAAAAATGGTTCTCATATTTGACAACTAATTAAGACATCTCTATAGGATCCTGGAAATTGCCCCATCTTGAATTAGGGAAACTTTATTCTATTCTTTGTTTGTTAAGCATTTGCTTTCTTGTGTTTATCTTTATTTTTAAATGAAGAATGAGTGTTGACTAGATACTTCTTGTGATTGCAACGCGGAGGGGACAAAAACAAGTTGTGGAAGGATATAGACCACGGGGTGACATTTTCACAAAGCTCCCAGATGCGCCAACAACCCAATACCTTGTCTATGGGTACGTGCGTGATTAAGATATTTTTAAATATGGCGAACACCAAGATTGGGAGGGCAGTTGCCTTGGGGAAGGAAAGAGGGGAGTGAGAGCAGGGAGGGGAACATGGGACCGCCACTCTATCTGTTATGATTTGCTTACTTTTAAGAGGATCTGAAATTGGTGAAGACGTCAAACCTTGATAAAGCTGAGCAAAAGCCATGTGGGGTTTCCTTGTTTCCTGCCTCCCTCTTTGCGTGCTTAATAATAAAACAGCAGAGCCCAAGTTAACAGCAACGAAGAAAGCGTAACACGCCCTTGGCCTCGGGCTGGGAGCCCCGGTCACCTTCAACTCCTCATCTCTGCAGAGAGTGGAAGCCACAGAGCAATCCTGGGACTTTCACCTTCTTCCCACATTCATCCAAACCCCATGTCCCTGACATTCAGGTCCTTGTGTGATCCGGTCCCAGCTGACACCCCAGCCCCAGATGGTGGCCCCTGAATCAGTCTTGGCTTCTCCAATGAGTCCTGTTCTCCCGATCTCTGTATGTGCTGATACTG